GTGATTGGCTGATTAGCTATTTGCGTTGACGAGCAATTGAACAGGTGTACCTAATGAAGTAGCCAATGAGTGTATACAAAACTTTTAAAAAAGGATAACACTGGCGTTATTCTCCTTTTTTTCTATCAGTCCCAAAATCCACAGCCAGCTTATTAGTTTTGCAAACATTCAGTAAATAACAGTTGGCTTTGAACCACAGTGACGAGTCCTTACACATTAATGGAGATCTCCGACACAGAAGAACAAGTTAGGACTATGAATATTACAGGAAATACTTGTCAACGCGTTAAGTCATTTTCTAGGATTGGTTGACAATAAGGACACAGTGTTACTCAGACAGCTGAATAAATAAAGTTAGCACATTATCAAGATTTAAAACTAAATGATGTCAGATGAAAATGTGTCACACGGAGCAACAGCAAAATCTTCCTTATCCTGCCCGACATGTTATTAACTAGCCTGTGGAATAACCGCAGGTACCAGCCCTGGAAATTAACCTGACTCCTGTCTGACTGCTGAGTGTGGACACTTCCTGTGTCTGTCCTTTCAAAGTAAAGTCACACATGGTCCAGTCAGATAGGTTTGGATTTATTTTGATAAGGTGCAGCTCCTGATAGAGTTTCATGTTTCTTTTTCTGTGACTAAGCGACCAATGAAATCTTGCTGACTAATGAGATTTCTGGTCGACTAACATTTGGTCGAGTCCCATCTGATGTTGCATTAAAACCCTCTGAGACCTGCGGCATCACTGGACGTCCTTGGGTTCCCCCCACACAGCAGGATTTTGGATCTTAAATATTTAACAGGTTTAATCTTCTGAACAGATTGGGGATGTAAAAAACACTTGACAGACCCTACACCACAGGAAAATTTGGCAAGATGATCTTTATAATCATCAAAAGTGTGACGATTGTCAGGACGGGGATTTGGGCCCAAATTGGCCTGATTCTCATGAACGCATGCCGAGCTTTAGCCAGAGCAGCTGCTGCTCCTTAGCTCCTCCCTTTAAAGTTTGGGTCGAGCAGTGATTTTAAGCCTCACAGACATGTTTGTGTAACTAAAGCCTCTCCTAATTAAGATCCTAGTTTGGCTGCAAGCGGCCTTTTGTCTCCGAGATAATAATATATGCAAAGTGCGGTCGGAGGTCGACAGGATTACTTGAAGATACTGAGTTGTGTTGAACCACAGGATAAACTGTATGATCAGTCACCAGACTCGAGTGACCCACTGCTCCACTTTCACACCACAAACACTGTAACTGTGCAGCAAAGCTCTGGCTGTGTGGCGGAGTCACGTTACTGCCACTGATCCAGTCCATTCAGTGAAAGACAAACAGACTCTGAAGGAGGTTATCAGAAAAAAAAAGGTAATTTAAGGTGAGATGAGTCGATGACATTTTTCACTCTGACTGAAACTCAATACTTTGAATCAGCTTTCTTTTCTGCACCTGGCGACATCTGGGAGGAAACAACAGGAAACTATGTCACACTACAGACTAACGTTACTGACCTGTGATCAGTGGGATTGGGTTTGGCGGTGATGGAATGAAATGGGTTACAGTCAGGTTAGTGATTAGGACGACTACACTAGGTAAGACTCCTAACAGCTGACAGTGGGACTCAACTTTACCTGGACATGAACCATAGCTATCCAGAGCACAGCTGGAGACACAAACACACAACAGTTTGAGGACAGTTTAAAGTTTAGCCAGTTGCTCTTGAGATCTGCTCTGCAATCAGAGAGCGGAGGATTTGTATTCTGCAGTACACAGAAATCATCAGTGAGTGGCGCTGTAAGGCCACACGGCAGGGTTTGGGGATGGGGTGTTTTATTCTAACAAGCAGCAGAGAATCACCAGGATGATTTCACGTGATAATAAAACTATTGAGACAAATATCTCACCTGGAGAAGGCTTCATCCAGTCCATCTTCTATCTCCTACAAGAGGAAGAAGAAGAAGAAGAAGAAGAAGAAGGTTTTAAAGCTGCATTATTTGAGGTATCTTCCGATATTTCAAGACACATTTGAAACACAAAAGATCCGAAATCTAGACTTAAAAAACAAAGACGAAACAGCCTCACTTGTCCATAGGTGTGAAACAGAGCCAGAGGAAGAGGAGGAGATCTTACCCAGGCAGGGTTATTGTTGGTCTCAGAGGGCCTGTGGTTGTCCAGCTGATCCTCCTCTATGTTCCCGTTGGTCTCCACCACCACATTCACACTGTCCTCAAAGTCCAACAGGTTGTCTGTGGCGACATCTTCTTAAAGGAGACGGACAGATAGATGACTTTATTGTCCGGGTCCAAGTAAGAATTAAAGACCTGAAATATGAACTATGAAAAGTTTGTGTCGTTACCTGTCCCTTTCAGGCTCCCCAGGCTGTTGGATCTCTCTGAGTGGGAGCTGCTGCTGGCCTCTCCAGCTGAACCCGACTTCACTCTCTTCCCTTTCTCTACAGTAGAGACGAACACAGAGACGTTACACGAGCAGAAGCAGAAGCATCACCTGAAGCCTTACAGAGGGGCTGGAGATGGTGTGTGTCCGGTGGTGAGTGTGGCGCCTACCTTCTTTGGCAACTTGCCAGAGTTCAAAAGCTACCGTGAAGGCCTGGGCGACCGTCAGAGCCACCGCCTGAGCCTGGAGAGCAGGAGAAACACTTTGTTACAGAGCACGGCTCAGAGAGAGGACAGGAGTGTTCCCCAGCCTGAGACACTCAGGTATCTACAGACTGAAGGAGAAGAGATGCAGGTTTGATCATCTGCTGCTGTGACTGTGATGCTGAGTGAGGATGTGATCAACAGGAAGATCATCCAAGAAGGAAATATAAAAAAAGCCTTTATTGTAGTGGCTAAATCACTGAAAGAGAGAACATGTTTCAGTCACTGCAGGTCTTCGTCAGGGCTTTCAAAACATACTACACAGGTATGACCCCACCTACACAGTGGCAGGAACCAATCAGAGGCCGTCACATATCATGTGCACTGCACCATTTGGTGTATTTGTCCGTCTGTCTCTGCACACCTGCCACGGCAGTGACTGGATCTAACTGAAAGAAATCCAACATCGACAGCTGCAACATTTTCTTTGTTATGACTGTTTAAATATGAGGAAATCCTCATTAATGTGACCTGAATTAACTTTAAATTTAAAAAAAAAAAAAAAAAAAGTTTAAAGAGTAAAGAGTAAAGTTTACTGTAAAATAAACCTCTGAAGAAAAACATTTCTTCATTTGATTTATGAGAGTTTAAATATCAAAATCCACGCTGCAGCTGGTTTGACAGTGCTGCTCGGTCTTGTCTGTCTGTGCGCAGTGTCCTCTTAGTGCGCCACGCAGGAGTGGGCGGCCGCGAGCGTCACGTAGGTTTCCATCAGCAAAGGTCTGTGACAGAATCAGAGAGGAGAGGGAGAGACGCTGTGCTGCTGCCAGAGGAGCCGCTGAATGAGTTCCCTCTGAGCGCTAAGAGAAGGAAAACATTCAGGACGCCACAGTTTATTCCACACTACTGAAGCTGCTCCTCTTTTTACTGGAACCACCAAGGAGTCGCTGATCATTTCACTTTCAGCCATGATTGTTGTTGCTATGGGTAACAGTATGACGTCAATATGTCAACAAGGTGAAATATCCTGATATGTATTTTTCATTATATTAAAAATGCTACCTGTATTATAATGAAGAAGATGACATGGCACAGCCCTAATGCCACGACATCAGTTATAAATGTGTTTTTCGTCGCTTGACAAAATGGACATGTGACATGAGCAGTGTTGAGTAAGGGTTACTTTAAAAGTAATCAAAGTACGTTACTGCGTTACTTTTTTAAAAAGTAACCAGTTACTTACTTTACTGCGTTACTCCCTGAGAAAAGTAACTCAAGCACTTTTAAAGTACTTTTGAGTATTCTACATTTCCTATTGGGCAATGGACCACAGGGCGCTAAGCCTACATTTTTTTGTCTCCAAAATTAAAGTTATGGACCACTTGCCCTTCACTGAGATCCAGTTCTCCCATCACAGCCGTCACTTTGACCAGTAGAAACACAC